GTACAGCTGGGGAAGATTAGCCTTTTCCACTAGACAAGACCCATTACCATGTTCCAATATACCATCACTTCCGCTAGGAGAGCCCGCAGATGAGATATCGATTGAGGTGACCCCGGACGAGCCCTCCCCTCTTAGCCTGAGAGGCGTACAGATCAGCCCTGCCAGCGCAGCCAGCCTCAGGTTAAAGCCAACAGGAAGGTCGGTCAGCTGCCAATTACCCACAACTCTGCCGTCTCCCGTGTGCGGGGCTGTCGGCCAAACCCCTCCTGCATGGGGCGACGGCCAGAGGAGGAAAGAGGCTGGAGAAGCTGGAAGGAGCTAACCTTGGGCGGAAAGGGAAAGAGCCCGGCTCCTTGGCTTCAGCAGCTGGCGAGGTGGACGGAAAAGCATCTCCGTCTCCGGGGGTGAGTTAGCTGGGCTGGCTCCCTGGGGTCCCAGAGGAGAGGGTGAACGGGGCTGCTCGGGGGGTGCAAACATTGCCCCGAATGGAGGACTTTGTTGGGGTGGGGAGAGTAAGAGCAGATTCCTGTGGCCATTGCCCTTAAAGCAGCTTGCAGATGTGCCTCTCAGATCAAAACAGAGCTTTGCCTCTTGGGATCTATGCTCCTCCAGCCATGCCTTTGCATTAAGGCGGCTGCCCGGCGGTGCATCATACAGCTCTTTTCGCTCTGAGCCTGTGCCAGGGCCTTCCCTTCCGTAGGAGCTTGGGCAGATGTTGCAGGGAGGAAGGGGATGGGAAGGAGACAGGGAGCAGGTATCCTGGGAGCAATGGCTGTCTTGAACAGGGGTGCCCCAAGCCTCACAAAATGGCACAAGCACCCCCTCCCCTCTGCTGTTTTTCACTGTGCTGTGCCTGGTTCCTGTGATCAGAGACCTAAGGAAGAACGCCTTGCATTTGAAAGCTTGGCTAGCTTTATCCTGACTACATCGCTGGCCAATAAAAGATGTCACTCTAAGAAATCCTTGCTACCACCATTAAAGAAAGCCAATGCAGTGTCCAGTTCCATGGGAAAGACCCACCTGGTTTCCTGGCATGGAAGGTGTGTGCCATCGCTGTAACAACTAATGGCCAGTGCTGTGCCCTGCCCTCCAAAACCATCAACCTCCTCAAAACTTCTCAGCCAGCTTAAAAAAAAGGCCAGTGCAAATCTAAGACTACATGCACACGGCAGCATCACGTCACTGAGCAAGGAGATTATAGTCTTCGCTACAGGGCTGGTGAGTCTGCACCTGAAACACTGCTTTCAGCCTGAGACATGGTGGTATCAGAAAGCCATGGACAAACAGGAGGGAGTTTGGAGATGAACAACAAAACCAACCCTGGGGATTGGACTGCTTGACTTATGCAAGATTAAAAGCAGCTAAATAGGCACAGGTTGGCTTAATCTGTCATGATGTGGTGACCGCCTGCCACTGGAGGGAGGAAGGAGGCACAAAAGCAAGGTACAAGGCATCCTGGGCTGGATAGCAGTGAAGCCTTACCTGCAGTGGGCGGTATGGAAAAGAGGTGGAAGAGTCCCCAAAGGGAAATAGTAGACACTCCTGTGAAAGCACTAGAAGACGCACTGTCAGAAACAATCTTGCACCGGTCAGCATGGGTGAAAGAGAGAGATGGCTGTCCAGGGTCTTTCCCATCTCTAGCTTTCATGCATGTAAGAGGACTTTCCACATCCAGGGCATTTTTAAGGGTGAGGGGATGAATGCAACAGAATATACAGCCTGCTTGCTCCAGCAGCAACGAGGAGATCAAAGAATACAGCAAAACCTTGGACTAAACCAGGCCGGTTACCCCAGGCTTGGATCAGGACTGCGAGATGCCATTTTATATGATGTCCCCAGTTCCCATTTCAGAAAGAATTCTGCCCAGACACCACCAGATAAGTGTTAAGCACCAACATTGCACACAAATGAGTAATTCTGCAGTGGCAACATCTGATCAGCACTTCAGAGCAGTGGAGAGCATTGGAGACCTCTGAATTTAAATGAGTCTTTCAAACCATAATATATTTTACGAACACAGGAAGGTGACAGGGAGAGCCCAGCATTTGCAATCACGATCCTAAGGAGCCTGTCTAGGAGCTCTGGCCTGGATGGTTTCAGATACACCATGCATCCCATTTTCCCAAACACCTCGTGTAGCACCATTTACGGTCAACATTTCTGAGAGCATCCCCAGTGGTCATACCTCCACCACATCTCCCCCCTAGCCATGGACCGCTGTATGCACCATCAGGTGGGTTAACAAGTAGTCTAATGGCTGATGTTACTCCCGGATCTGGACTCCAACACCACACCAAAAGCAGGGGGTGTCCAGACTGTGCATGTGTACACTGACCTATTGTAGGTGTGGAAGCCAGAGTATCAAGGTGCTTTGGAGACTGGCAGCATCCAAGCCTGCTTGGTAAAACAGCTTGAGGGATCAGCTGACCATTTCCAGATAGGATGTGCTATGAGTCATCCAGCATGCCATGTTATGCAGCTGTGGAAATCTAGCAGCTCCAATTTTCCGACAGCAAATAGGAGGTCTCCCTCAATTTGGTGGTCAATGAGGTACTAATGTTATTTTAAGGGCTGACAGGAGCATATGCTTGCACACCCTGGAGAATGGCCTCCTACCACATGCCACAAGGACCTCAGAGCTAAACTCAGACTCGTATACAGCACGGCAGAACAGCTTTCAGAAGACAAGGGACTTATTCAGCAAGATCCCTGGAGGAGGTAGTATGCAGAGAACGGTGCGAGGGGAGTTCTGGAGAGGAGAAGGCTGTTTCTTGGAGCACGCAACCGGTAGTTTGCTTCCTGGTTTGGGGCAAAGGGAGGTGCAATATTGAGAGCTGCAGGAGGAAGATACAAAGAGCATTTAGGAAGGAAACTTGGAGGAGTATAGAGTCAGCAAGTGCAGGGTAGGGATGTGGGCAGCAAGCACAGAGATGTAGGTGAGGAAGAACACAGAGGACAGCCCCAAAAGGGCCCAACCCACTGGGTGCAGATCTCAAGTGAGCTAAATCCCTGGCTACCCTAGGAGTTTGCCTTGCTCTACTCACATAAAGTCCTATGGGGACAGCTGGGCAAGAGCCCGACGCCTCTTTCTAATGCACAATCCCCTCCCCTTGGAGATCAAAAGTGTGGCAAGATTCAGGAACGCGAGAGACATCTGTATGAAGCACAGGAGCCTCCAGAGTTATCAGCAACAAACGTTTGGAAGGGCTGTTAGATCTCATGCTTTGGGGTTATACTAATCCCAAACTCAGGTGAGGTCCAGTGTAAGGGCAGATTATCCCACACGTGCCCCTGTGAGGTCTTACACCTTCCTTTGAAGCATTTGGTGTTGGCCGTTGTCAAGGGGAAGTTGAGTTTGAACCAGTAGGATAACAGCTAAGGGTGAATCTCTGGTAGCAGTATAGGCCCTATGACACACGAGCGAACTATTCTGATTTCAACCAGCAGGTGGCAGCAGCACCCCTGCAAAATGCTTGGTTCATTCCAGGATCGCTTCCCTTTTCCTCGCCGCGTTTTCACAGCTGCTGTGCCAGGCGAGAGAACCATTTCCATTTGCTTGACTGCCGACTCTCTGCTGCCTTCGTCTCCATAGATGGTAGCTGCTGGTAATAGCAGAGAAAGAAACATCCAAGCTGAGAAAATAACAGGTTATTTTCCCAGCTGTGATGTCAGAAGCTTGTCACGCTTACCCTTAACAGGCGAACAGGGCAGGCGAAGAACTTTGTCCTGCCGCTCAAAGTGCAGCCAGTGGCCCTGCAGAGAGACCAGGGGAAAACGCTGCTTTCTCCAACCTTCAGCTGGTGGCGAGTCGGAGTCGAAGGTGCTGATTTCATCGACACAGAGCAGATGCTTTCTTCCTGCCTGCAGGGAGCCAGCCTGGCTAGGGACAGCGAGCTAGATTCTGGCGTGCCACCTTGAGAAGAGCCATCGGCACAGCGGAGCCCGGCTTCTTGTACAACCACTAATTGTCACGGGCACCAGAGTCCAAAGGGGCCACCTCTGTGACCACATCCCAGCAGGGCTGGTGACAAACAAGGCAGCTTTGGACTCGCATGCAGAGGGCAACAGGGGAATCCTGCTATGCTCGCGGCTGCCCAGCCTCACCGTTTGCTCTCCAACAAGTCCAAAAAACAGTGCTCGAAAGCACTCGCAGTCACATCAAGAATCACACTGATGATGAGATGACAATTATATCCATTTGATTTTCTTTTAATGCTCCATGAAAAAGGTGAAGTCATCGCAGTGCTCATTCGTGAATAAAGGTTGAGACCCCCCTGGTTCAGAGGCTAAACCCCTTTGAGCATGCACAGACACACACCGCAGCCCAACATAGACCCTCACATGTCCATCAGTACTGCCATATCCGAGCACCTTGCAGGCCTCCGTGTGCTAGCCTCTCTATGCCGTGATCTCTTTTTTCCAAATGCGCAATGGTGTGGCCAAGGCACATAAGGGGCCTGCAAACAGGGAAAGACTTCAATCTGAGCCTCATCATCACTCCCCACAAAATTAAAGACCACCCTCCCCTTCAAATTGGAACTTAAATGTGGAACAAAATGTTCAGTTTGCTCTCTGATCTGGTAACACCTTTTTCCTCCCTCTCCTTTTTAAACAAATCCTTTTCAGTCTGGTCCCTCCGCTCTCAAACGAGCATAGGAAAAGAACAATAAAATCCTCTTAACAACTTTAAAAAAACCCAAAATGCATTGTGAAGACAGTCTTTTTCTTTCCTCAGCCACCTATCTTCTCCTCCATGGCCACTTAGTCCTTAGCAGAGGAAGAAACAGGTAGGTGACTGGTTCGGTTAGGTTTCCTGCTCCCCTTTCCAATACAAAGGTGTGCACTGGGACAAAAATGTGTGGTCTTCAGAGGCACTTAAATCCACTGCTGAGATCACAAAGCCCAGCCCAGGGAAGAGTTTGGCCAACTAAGCACGTGAGGGACAAACAGCGGCGGCATAATGAACCAGTCCTCAGAATAAAGAAACAAAAAAACCTGTGTTCGCTGTTTTAATTCCCATTCCCGCTTCTCTCAGAGGGGAGCTTACCACCTTTTTTTATTATTATTTGATTCTGTTTTGCTTGCCACGGAAGCCCATAACAAAGCCATCACCTCAACATCAATTCTGGGAGGCGAGTTACAATTACAAATTACCACCGCAATTAGTGCTCGCGCTTAGACAAATTAGAAAGGGGAGCGAGAGCCTATTGATTGCTATTCATTCTGCTTCGTGGCGACCTTGCTCTGGAGACGATGATATTCCTTTAGCCTGTAAGCCAGATTTGAAAAAAAAAAATTAATTGTAAATTAACAGTGATAGCACACATTTCGAATCAATTAATTCAGGCAGAACGAGAGGGCAGCAGGGGCAAGCATTTGTTAAGGCCTATACGGTTTAATTCTTCCTCCCCACACCCAATAGTGTAATTAATTTATCTTGGGGTGGGGGCGGGGACCTCACATAATGTGACAGAGAACAAAGCAGTTAACTGGCAATGGAAAAATTAAGAGCCCATTATGTAAATATAGCATATTTCATGGCATTTAGGGGGGAGTTTGGGGGCCTGGGAGATAAGGAAAATAAAGAGAATGGCTGTTCTTTAGGAAGCTGCAATTAGCCAAGGCTTCTGTTCCCGACAGGCTTGTTCTCATTTCCAAAGGCTTGGCTCCAACCTGCAGCTCAGGTGGGATGGAGGAACTCAAGCACCCGCTGAAAAGGCATTAGTTGGCTAGGGTCACCTGTGCCAGGGCAAGGCAGCCAGGCTCACCAGGAAGCCAGTCCCCATCTCTTGTCTAACTCAGTGCTAGATGGGGCGCTTGGGGAGATGCTCCATTTGAGGAGTCTCAGTCCCTGCTAGAGGTGGGCACTATGGTCTGCAAGGCCTCAGCCGCCTTCAGGATGAGGCCTCTCAGCCTCGGTGTACGGCTGTAGCAACTCTGACCTCCCAACACAAACAAGGGCAAGCCAAGCCTCGTAAGAACTGTGCTAATTGGGATCTAACTTTTTTTTTTCAAAAAACATTTATTTACATATATATATAATATATATATATATATACACACACACACACACATATATATACACACATATACACATATACATACATATATACATACACACACACAGGCAGGCACGCGCACGCACACACACACACACATATACACACACATATATGGAGAGGGGTCTGGCACAGACTTTTTCAGTAGACCCTCTGAGGAGGGCAGTGGGTGGGGGTACAGGTATAGAGATGGGTGCGCGGTATGAACTGTGTAATGGGTTTTTCATGTGTTTTGAGCTGCTAATTGGGCTCTGACCCCAACAACAAGCAGAAGCCCCCACATTTAGCTAGCATGGATGAAAACATGGCTAGCACCAGGGCGAAGCCTGCCTACAGAAGGGGCTCAGTGACTCTGATCCCACCAGAGGCAAGGCCTACTGGCCAACACCAGGGCATGCCAGAGGGCACCTCCTGTAAAATGGAAAGCAGCCATGCTTGGGCAACAACCAGGCAGGAGCCAAAGGATAAGTGTGAGCAGGGCTTTGTGGGACCACACGGGTGATGCTGCATCTGCATCAAAATGATTGCAGGGCCAGGCAGGGCACGAGTCACTGTGGTGAGGATGGCAAGTGAGAAGCCAGAAGCTGTGTGTTGGGCAGGGCATCCCAAAAGATGGGATGGGACATTGGTGCCAGGGCTTTCATGCTACACAGACCTCAGGGAGTTGATGTTGATGAATCCAGTGGCATCGGCAGGCTCATAATCCCCTTGGACATTCATACTGCAAAGGGCAGGGCAGGGAGAGAAAAGGAGAAATAGGCAGTTAACCATGTGGGTTCTCCCGGGGATATCTGAGAGTCTGTAGCAGAGCAGGGCACTGAACTCAGCCTGGGTGTTTCAAGCCCTAGGCTGAAACTGCTGGCCTCTCCTTCCCCTCCTCCGGCACCCAAGCCCCTCTGTCCTCGCCATTCAATGTCTGCACCGGGCCCATCCCAGCATGCTGTTATCCACAGCAACGGCAGCGCTCTCAGCGCGCGATGGTGCTGCATGGGATGCAGCAGACAATACAGCCCGCGCTCACCCCGCAGTACAGCAGTCATCTTCATGCCTGCTGCAGCCTGGATGGGGCGTGGTTTCCACCAGGCAGCTCCTCCCACTCAGAAGAAAGATGCACTGCACCTGATTTTGGCACACACTTCTCTGGCGTGTCCGGAGAGGGCCTTCTTCCCACAGAAAAATCTCATTTTCCAGTTCCAGGTCTACCAGCCTCTCTACAGTGCCATGGCGCCAATGCACTGGCACTTCTGCAGCAGTCCCTGGAAGGCAGTGACCTGCCCATGCCCACGCAGCACATTCGGCAGCACAGCCAAGGGTAGTACCCCCCAGGCTGCATTCCCACATTGAATACAAGACCCTGCTGTGGAGCAGAAATGCCAGCGGGCCGTGCACACCTGAACCACGTAACGGATATATGTTGTGCACACATATAGTGGATGAATGTCCCATGGGAACCTAGTGTGAAGGATGGAGTGGGACTCGCATGACACACATGGGGCTGGGGCAAATCTCTCCCTGTCTCCCAGTCTGCTTCTCCCCCACTGGGACCTGCTTCCTTTTTCCCCTAACAGAAGCCAAACCCTCTCTGGCCAAGTCCCTCCACCCCCGAGCAGCCGCTTCAGGTTGAAGGGACAAGAAGCTCCAGCCTCTTCATCCAACACCGAGCACCGTCTTTCCTCTCCTGCTTAGGAGACAACCTTATAAGAGCATCTTCTGCCCACCCCGTGAGACACCCAGGACCAGAGCTGCATGCAAAGATTGAGATCTGTCCTCAGACTCTGGCCTTGTCCCAGGCAGGAATCACTGGGACACCATCACCCACTCCGGCACTAGCACCAATAGATGCACCAAACGCAGACCAGGCTTAGGGGATCCTCTGGACCTGAGCTGCATTTGATCCCATGGCAGTAAAGGCGTTCAACCCCCATCTGCACTAGCCCCCAGCGGTGGGGCTGCTGGTGCCACTGTACACTACAGTGACAGTGCCAGCATTGCCAAAGGACCCTGGCTCACACAGAGGCCAAACGCCTGTTAGTCCCCACTTGAGAGCTGCCCAAGGGAGGGCTGAGGAAAGAGCCAAACAGCATCAGGCCCAGATGCATTTGTGCCTGGTTGGTGTAAACAGGTGCAGCTCCCTATGACGACTCCAATTTATGCCAGGAAGAAAGTGAGCCCGATGGCCATGCCGGCACTGCAACAGCTTATAGCTGCCATGGAGCCAGCCCTGCTTCATGTCTCCTTCCCATTTCATCCTGCGACACTGCATAGAAAACCACGCCGGCCCCCAGCAACAGCCCCCAAAACCCAGCAGTCGGGAAAGCACATCCCAAGCAAGCCAGCTCCTTGCCATCCAAAAAAAAAAACAACCCCCAAAAAACCCCCAACCACGGCTCATTTCCCAGAAACTGCAAACCTTTAAAAAAAAAAAAAAAGAGTTTACAATGATTTTACCTCCCCTGACGGGCTACAGAAAAACCTCTGAGCTTTTATTTTTGCTCATTCGAGTGGTTCTGACCTGCTCTATAATTACGTTACTTTCTACCTACTGTGCAGAGGCATTTCCACGCGGCTCTACCTCTCACAGCTTTCTCTCGGGTTCCTGTGACGCCGTCACTCAAAGGCTTTCAAACCAGCGATGTAGAAATCAAAAAGAAAAGGAAAATGGTTGGCGACGCAGTGAGAATAAGTGCCCCTGCTTTTCTCTCCCTCTCTCTTTTTCTCAGTCCCACCCCCCTCCATCCTTTTTTTTCTTCCCTCTTTTTTTTTTTACTTTATTCATTTAATCTCTCCGAGTGAGAACGCGAGGCATAATGAAGGGTTGGGACGGATTATTAGGAGCTGTTGATTTTGAGAGGGAGGGAAGGAAAAGAGCCAGAGAAGAGAAAGAGAGAAGATAATTTGACATTTACTCCGACTGATCTAAACTGATTTGGGTGTATTTATGGCTTATAAAGTGTTTAGAGAGATTGAAAAGGGCTGGGGGGAGAGCGGGGGAGAAAGAGAGAGAGAGAGAGAGACAGCAACACGAAGAAAAGGAAAAGTGTAAAAAAAAAATATTGACTGCAGAACAAGACTCGTGCTCTCATTTTAGACTCAGCTCAGAGGAAATGCTTGTGATGGAGTTAAAGGCAGACCCCTCGCGGCTGCACGCGCCAGTCAGACGAGCCATGCCTCCAAGGGAGCACCCTGATGTGGTGTGCCCCACACCAAAGCACCCTTGGTTCAAATCCGTGACGCTGTCTCACACCCCCACATCACACGCCTGGACCCCCCCGCCCAGTCCTGGGGAGCAGCCTGGGTGGCAAGCGCGGGGCATGAGCTTGCCCACAGAGCACGGGGGAGGCTGGACCACCTGGTTTCACCAAATCAAAGTACCCTAGAGAAATCAAGCTGCAAGGGACCGTGGGAGATCATCTAATCCAACCTGCCACCAGAGGCAGGATCATCCTTATCCAAACCACTCAGTACAAGTCCACGGTCTAACCTATTAGTAAACCTACACAGTCAACCGTGACACAACCACAGGGCGTAACACCCTAGCCTGCCACAGGTAAAGCCAGAGGACAATGGTAGCCAATGCCCGGCTGCTGTGAGGGCTGTTAAAATATGCTCAAGAGATGCCAGGAAGGGGCCACAACCCCTCTAGAGGAAAGCAAAAACCCTCATAGTCCATACGAATCTGGCCAAGGGGGAAAATCCCTTCCTGATCCCAAAGCGAGGTGTGGTGTAACCCTAAACACGGGTGCAAGACCCTCTAGCTAGGAGCCTCCACATTTAAATTCCAGCAGGAGCATTGGCACATCTCAGTCAAAATCCCTAGCCTTCGCTGCAGCCAACACCCAGCGCTTCAATGGGAGGCAAAAACCAGCCTTCCTGACAGGTGTAACAGCAGGAGAGGAAAAAAAATCCTTCCCAGCCCCATGTGGCAAGCAGAAAAGCCCAGAAGCCTGGGAAATATCCATAGCAGAGCATAGGCACAGCTACACCGAGATCATACCTAACCAACACCAGCACCACCTCTGTGCATCCCTGTACCACCTCCTCTTGTACCATGCCTGTACCGCCTCTGCTTGAACACCTCCAGCGATGGGGATTTGCTTGTGGCCAGACCGGCGTATGGGCTTCACCTTCCATAAGGCAGAGGATGGGCCCAGGGGAAATGCGGGACAGAGGGGCTCTCTTCAACATCTCTGCCTGTCTGGGGCTCTGCCAAGCGTTCAGGAGTTTGGGAGTGCATTGGTCATGCCCGCTCCCAAGTCACGGAGAAGGCAAAGTGCAAGTCTTCTCCAGGGAACCCGGGGAGAATCACCAAGAGCCAGAGATGCCCTGTCCTAACAGCATTGACCATCACCCCGCAAGATACTGCTATATTGTCACCTCCAGCTTACCTCACCAGCTCCTCATTGTACAGGGACTGAGGTGACTCTCTGCCCAAGATGTAGACCTGGCCCTTGAAGACAGACACACACACTTTCCCTTCCACCAGCTCCTGGGACTTGTTGATGCAGTGGCGGATGAATTCGCACTCCGGGCTGTACCAGAAACCTGCAGCAAGGAGAGAGAAACAGGTTCGGTTTTGCAGCTGGCACTCCTTTTTCTTCTTGGATGTGGATAAAGGAAATCATGGTAAATTAACCTGACCAGGAATGCTAAAATGACCTAGACGCTAATCTACATGATGCTCCAATATGGCAGACACCGGAGGAGCTCTGGCTGTTGCCGATCGCCAGAGGGAACCTGGTCTAGGAGCTAGACCTGGGCAATTGAACTCCTGGGGTCTACTGCCAGAGGTATCAGGGGCTTGCTGTGCAAGCCTGAGTGAGTTGCATCACCTCTCTTGAGCTTTGGGTTGATATGAGACTAAAGATTGTCTCCCTGCAGAGTGGATGGGGACAGGGGTGGAGCAGTCATCACTTCTTGCTACAGATCAAGAGGCACAAGTTGGAGCCTCACTCTAGACTCATCCTCAATGGCCACCCTAAGCTGACCCAGGTAAAAAAGGGGGAAGGGACTCAGCCCTCCAGGCTGAGGAGTCAGAGGCAATAGGATGCAGTGCTAACCACGTTGCTTTATTGTGCATCATTGTCTCCCACTGATATGCCTCAACCCCATGAGTGCAAGTGGCCATCTAGGTTCAGGCAGACTTTGGGCCATCAGGTTGAGAGGTTTCACCCACTTGTGCCTTTAAACCTCCTCAGGATCCTTAGCAGGGAAGAGGTTAGAAGAGGGCAAATCACTAATACTAACTAAAAAATGCCAAACAAGCCCTCAAAAGGAGCCGGGGGGGCGGGGGGCATGTCCTCCCAGCACAGACGTGTGACTCTTCTGGGAGACCGTGACTGCTTTCTGGTGAATCTGACCTAGAGGAGCGGGACAGGAAGGCAGAGGTGCTTTTAAGCTATGGCTGGAGTTCGAGATGTATTGGGAACAGGCCAGTGGGAGGGGTGTGGGGTGGGCATCGGGACACAGGGGTCTTTTGGGGCAGCACTGGTGACAGCACGTGAGTTTCTCTGAAGCGGATGAGAGGGAGCAAGGTTAATCCCAGGGACTGGACAGAGCTCCTCTGCTCACAGACAGGGGCCACAGCACTCCCCCACCCCCAGGACCCCACAACAAGCTCCTTATAACCCCACTGATAGCCACCGTGCACCGAAACAGGAACCCTGAGCGGGAAGAGAGGAAGCTTCAAAGCCGGGCCTCGGCCCATTGCTTTCTTTCTTCAAGCCCCAGTGAGGACCCCCTTGGACCAGACCGCTCCAGTAAGATAACACAGGCCGGGGGGGGCTGACCTCGGGGGCGTTATCAGGCGAGAGAATCAGGGCCCATATGTCTCAGGCTGCCGCAGGTAGGCTCACCTTCCCCAGCCCTTTCTAGAGTAACGCTGCGGCTGTCACTCCGCAGGACAGACGCGTCTCTGCTTTCCTCCCTCTGCGGGCTGCCGAGGGGCCTTACAGGCACATCTGTCTGTCTGAGCCCCGACTGTCACCGGCATCCTAGCCCCATCCCCCGGGAGGGACCTGGGACACGGATTGTATTCCCGAGTCCCCTGAAAGCTGTCAGGGAAGTTTCAGTCACTCCTGCGGGCAGATTTAGCGTGAAGAAATTGAAACAAGCTCATCCCGGAGCATCTCTCACATGCACGCCTGTCAGTGCCAGGGAAGGTGCTGGGTTGATGCCCAGGCGCCCTGTGTTTAACTCTCATACAGACAGAGCCCACATGAGTTTCTCCACCCTGCCCTGGCAGCATGCTTCAGTCCTGAGCTGTCAGGAGGCTGCTGGGCTAAAGAGGAGATTCATTTAGTGTTTGGCCTCTCTGCTGGGGCTGCCAGCAAGTGCATTGGGTTTTGGACGTGAATCCACTTGGAACCATCAATGTCATTACTCACAAGCCAGTAACTCGAGGGCATCTTTTGGTTGCAAGGGGCCAGGACTGGCTTTGAACTGGCTGCCTAGAAAGGACAGGCAGGGCAAACACCTTTCCTGCCAGGCACGATTCCCACAGCAACTCCTTGTAGGTTGGATTTTGGATTCACTCTTGCTGCCCTCAGCAGGGAGGGCAAAGGAGGCATTTGGCCTCAGAGGGGAAGAGAGGAAACAGGGAAAGCTGTCTGAGGTAGTACCGGAGCTTGGAAGGAAGTCACATACACCCTTACCCAGACAGACGGCAGGGGGGTCACCACGTCCCTGAGCCTGGATCCCAGTTCACAGAGAAGGGACAGGAAATATCTGCAGCTCCTTGGTGGAAGATACTCCCATCAGGAATCAGGAGCAGGGCGGGGGGTACCAGGGATGCATCGTGGGAGCTTTCAGAACAAAATCCCGGGGTGGCAAGGCTCTGATGAGTGCATCTGTTCTCAGCTTGCTAAAGAAAGCTGAATTCTTTATCGGAGAGTCTCCTTGCCAAGGCTGCAGCTTCAGTGGCAGGTGTTTAAGCCTATGTCACCCAAGCTGTGATGTTTGGATGGCTTGTGATCTGACTTGGTGACTGGCAGAGCAGTATCTGCAAACGAACAACCAATCTGGGAGAAAAACCACCACCCAGTTTCTTCTAGTACCCTGCCAGTCAGCTTCTCAGGGACAAGATTGGGTAGCCTATGCGAAGAGAGAAGGCCTCCTTGTATGGCAGAGAGCAGCACCGCATGGCCAGAGAGGGGTTCCCAGGACGTGGCTGGGGCGGGTAGAGTACAGCTGCACGGGGCTACTTGCAGTGCAGTCTGAGGGCTTTGCATGGGAACCAAACGGGGAAAAGGACTGCAGCTGCAGGTCAGGGAAAGAGAGCGCCCTGACAGCTTGCAATTCTACAGTCCCTCGCTAGGGGACGAGCAGATGCGTGCATCTTCCCGTTCAGCTGCTGGGTGCCAAGTGCCTGCCCAGCTGACTAGCAAATGGGTCCTGGGTCTCCTTGACTGGCAAGAGCACCCATCCTGACAGCCAGGCCTCAACCGACTGCAATGCCAAGCGCTTGCTGCTGGGGAAAGCACAAGCGCTGGTGGGGCCCCGGGTCCTGCCTGCCTGCCATTCCTGTGCACTGTCCTGTCACTAAGTATAGTAATTAGCCCATTAAGCCCCCTGAGACCTAGAAAAAAGACAGGGAGATAGAGAAAGAGATAGGGGGAGAAAGAAAGGGATTCTATTTAAGTGTCTTCAGTGATCCAGAAGTTTTATCTCTCTAATCTCTGCCTCTCTCTGCTCACACACAGGTGCCCTCTCAGCTTTCCTTTCCCAGCTGGACTTTGGGGACTTGGGGCTGGAAGCCATTAAGGGAACACAAAGGGTATTTTTCTTTCCTTGTTGGCCGCAAAGTCAGGTTGGATCAATGCAGCTAGGGAAGAGGCTGCTCCACAAGCTCCAAACACCTTGCGTGGGGTAGAAGGTGCCCCAGTCCAAGATGCGCCTCCGTGGCCACCAAGCTGATTTGCATCCCCTTGACTGGTATTTTGCAGGCTTGCACCATGAACTGAAGGCAGAAGGGCTGGGAGACCAGGCATGTGCTTCTGGCACGGCTCGGTCGGTCATTGCAGGGATGGAGTGCATGGTGGCCAAGACAAGCTAATTTTAATGCCTCCCCTCTAGGTATCCTTCAGTGGGGACACACACGCTCTGGTGTGGTTGCTCCATTTCTCCTGCCTGCTCTCTCAGGGCACATGATGTCTTCAGATGCTCAGGAGTAGGAGCTGCAAATACTGATGCACAACCAACCCCCTTGTGCTCTGCTGGAGGGTATAAACGAGGGTATAAATGTACCACGGCACGGTTCACACTGAAGTACTTCCAAGCTGTTCCTGTTTCATCTGGGGGCCAATTTTGATGTGGTGCAGGCTGACGTGCACCACTTCATCGTTCTGCGTCATCCGGACCCTCGCTCTTTTGAGGGCCTGAAACACCACACATGTTCTGCTTGTCCATACTCTGATTTTGCAATGTTGCTGTAGCCCAGTGATCCCACCCGCCCACTCAGCGAGTTAGCAGCATGACTGCAGATACCACACTGACTCTTCTTCTGGTATTAAAGCATTATGGCAGGTGGCAAATGATCTAAAGGTAGGTTTTGAGCACTCGCGGAGTTGTCTTGGATGAGGATATTTTTGTCTGCATATCTAGCATGTCATAAAAAGGGCAGGAGACAGGACAGTGGCAAGACAGTGAGACTTCATGAGCGGAGCAGGACTGAGCCAGGCCAGCACTTGGGTTGGATGGAGTCAACGGTGGAAGACCCGAGTGCTGCAGCAGTTGAGATCTGTCGTTCCCTACGTGACTCTCTCTCATCTGGGTTGATCCTGGGCCAATACTCAGTATCCTGTGCTTTCAGAGACACCACAGAATCACAGAAAAGTAAGGCTGGAAGGGACCTCGGGAGGTCATCTACTCCAACCTCCCAGCCATCTTTGAGGCCATACGTAAAAACAAAGTCCTCACCACTGTTTCTTGTTGAGGACGCCTTAATCCCATCAGAGTGCAAATCTTGGAATGGAGGCCAAATTCTTCCTGACCTCAGAGGTCACATTTGGCCTTCTTGACTTCCCCTTGCTGTTCCCATCAGATGTAGGGTAGTTCTTCACTCCCCGTCTTACACGGTGTTACAACATGAAAGCAAGCCGTTATAACCAGCTGCGCCCTTCAAGCCCAGGCCCAATGCTCATGCACCAGTTTGCTGCGTTGCTAAAATGCTTTGGGATCCTTTATGGAAAGGCAGCAATGCACATAAGCCCAGTGGCACAATCGCCATCAGGCTAGGAGCCCAAAGGAAATAAACTTTCTCCTTTAAACAACAAGCTAAAGTTAAAGCTTTTGTGATTTAAGAATGATTTGGGATTTTTTTTTTTTTTTGGTTTCCCTGTAATGGAAAAAAAATTAAATCCAAGACACATTAAAATAATAACCAGCTACTTAAATACTGGATCTGACATCTCCAGGTGCGAGGCGCTCTCCCCACTCCCTCCCTCTTCACCCCCCACTGCAAACAAATTCCCCACTTGAAGTGATCCGGCTTAATAGCCTTCCCACTTTGTAACTGCAATCCAGCCCTAATCATTTCAATCTGATGGAGCAAACAAGGTCTGTGGGAGACAATGGCATTTAAACACCTGGTCGTACCTGGCAGGGTGAGGGGAGCAGAAAGCTACAGAAGTCTGTTTCAAAGTCGCCTTCCCACAATGGGATCAATCGGGGCAGAGAGGTTGGGGGGGGAGAGGAAAAAAAAAGATAAACACTAATTCTCTTAAATTCAGAGACTAGTTACAATAATTAGGTGTTAAAGAAAGATGAGAGCATGAAAGCCAGGTCTCCAGCAGGCCCCCTCGGGTGGGTGGTAACCTCACACTAGCAATAGGATAAAATTGCTCTTCGTGTCCTTTATTCCAGGCTAGGCTCGAGCTGAATTATTTATTGTATTCATGCTCCGTCTGACGAGGCTCAGCCATTATGATTTGTTCCTGGCTGGGGTCCTGGCTGAACCAAAAATGGGGTCTCCAGCTCATGACCACACTGCAGAAGAGGATGCTAGCAGCAGCTATCTTTTATCAAGGCAGGCTATCCTTGGTTCCACAAAAAAGCTCCTGTTCACAACAGTCAGCCACACACACCCACTATGTAGGAAATCAACAGCTGGATCCTGGACACACAATGCAACGGCCACTACACAACAACCACAACAACCTTTAGCCAATTCATACAACAAACAGCACACGAAAAAAACTACAACATGCAAGACAGCCTTAACTCTGCCCCCAGCAGGGCTGCCAGTCTAAAATCTTCCCTATTTTGTGTCCCTCGCCTCTCAAGAAGGAGTCTCCATAACTTTATTTGCACGATGATCTTGCGAGGTCCCTTCCAGCCCCTTACAATATATGAATCTATATATATACACAATTAATCCTCAGCAGAATTGTGCCTTGACTTCTACTGCTCTGACCCCCTTGGCTAATATAAGCCTAGGGCATTACTACTGACTTAAAGCAAAGTTTGGCTAGCCATCATCTCAGAGAAAGAGCTGGAACAGATCCTGACCTGGTGCAAGATTAACAGAGCCATGCTGATTTGCACCAGCTAAGGATTTGACTCCACCGCTCTGTAGTTAGAGAAGCCATGGCTAGACCCCTGCCAGACTGAAGCCAGCATGTCTGCAGTAGTACTAACAAACCCACCAGCGGTTCTGTCAAAAGCTCTCCATGCTGGAACTGGTTGCTGCCTCCAGATGAAGCAGCTGGACGACTATCTTGTGGAAAGGTTACTCGCTAAAAAGGTAATTATCAGTTTCAATTTTCTAACATCTGGCTTTGAGAAAGCCTCGCTGTCAATTCAGCGAAAGGAGACTGATTTCTGCAGAAAAACCCACGGTTTCCACGCGGACAAGGGCGAGGACGATGCGAGTTTAATGCTCCGCCTGGGAGCATTTCAGGCAAGGTGCACAGAACTCACTTCTGCTCACCAGGAAAATAAGATGACCATTAACCCCAAAAGACAATAATCCTGTTGCTTACCAATAGCAAGGGCATTTAGAAATAAAAAAGTTTCACTTTTTTTTTAATATATGGTCATACAGAATAATACAGTGAAATAAAAATAATCAGAGGCAGGTGCTGCATAAGAAAAAGAATGAAAGCAACAGAGGTGGGGAAAGAGAGGAGCTGGATTTGGCATAATACTCTTTTTGGTCAGCACAAAGGAGGCCAGTGATGGACCCCCAAGGAAAAAATCCTTGCTGTGGCCAAAACCCACTTCTGAAGAAGGCCAGAAGCACAAGACAAAGACATCCCTAAAGCCATCAAAACAGGACTTAAACAGCACATAAGCTCCTGCACCGAATGGAGGAACGGACAGAGACTGAGCTGTCGGAGGGAGTTGACTCAAGGCTGGGGAGGAATTGCTGAGGAAGAAGCCAAGAGCACAGGAAGGCTTGGGCATCTGTCTTTGGATGGGGAGAAATTAGCACTGCTACCTCTTGTGAGAGCTGATGGGAGGGTCTACACAAGACGTTTACTGCAGAGTTGACTAATTAGCTCTGTAGTAAAGTCTCAGCGTCTACACGTGAGGCCCTATAGACCACAGGAAACTAATAAACGTTGCCCTAGGATAGTACTCGTCAACACAAGTACTATCCTACACAGTAGCATTATTTAGTGCACCACAACGCATGTGTAGACCCTGACGGGGCTGCCTGGGACACAAGGGTGCTTCAGTGTGGGCTAGCCTAGTGTGGGCTGCCAGCTAGCCCCACACTGGAGCACCCTCGTGTCCTAGCCCTCCCCTCTGCAGCACACTGAGCCAAGTCGGAGCAGCCCCAGGCTGGCAAGCTGACCCGCCAGGCCCCCTGCCAGCTGAGGCTGCTCCAGCCTGGCTCAACTCCCAGGCACACATTCAAACACAGTGCCCAGGAGCAATAAGCTCCAGTGCAATCAGCACCGGAGTTTATGTTGCACTAACATCATGTGTAGACGCACCCAGTGTTCCCTTAAAGCCCCAGCTCCCGAAGTCTTGTTATTTCATAAGATCTCAGCCTTTGGTCTAAAAAGTATTTTTCCAGCTTTGGTTATTGTGGAGAAAACAAATAAATGTGACCAGAATGAAGTCAGGGGACAAGTAAAAGTCAAAACCACATTACTGTTATGGGGGGGAGGAATCTCATCCCTTCCAGAAGACTTTGTTTCTCCATTAACACAACACACCCCATGTGTGCAATATGCAGGGACACAGATGCTCTGTCATGAAATAGTCCAGTTGTGAGCTCATAGAAACAAAACATGGATTTTGCAAGTGCAGGTACGAAAAGCCATGGTTGCTTTTAGGGGATCTAGAAATGAACTTGGTTTCCTTAATTTAATTCTAAATAATGGCTCTATTTATGCATGGAGTGGCTACAGCATGGACACCAGCAAGCGCAGTGGGGAAAGCGGGGGTGGACCACTCAAGAACAACCTTCCCTGAGGTAGAAGAGTCATGTCCCATTTACCCATGGGTCTCCCTAGCTCCAGCCCCTGTTGGCAATGGTGGGAACTTGGAGCTGAAACCAAGACTCATCGAACTTTCCCCATGCAGGAGGCTGAGCATCAGACAACAGCAGGTGTCCATCATTGCTCACCTGGGCTAGAGATGAACCAGGGACCATCTGCATTGTTTGAGCCAATTAGGTCCTCCACCCTTTTCTGCCTTCTGATCATTCGCACCCCAGTAATAGACTCAACTCAACTGCACGGCTGGCCACGTGACTGGCAGGCTGAGCTCTCAGCTGCTGCAGTCTCCTAACAACAAGCGGGTCAGAGCTGCCTTAAAAACCAAACTTTGTCTCCTGCTTCATTGTGTTGCTCCATCCAACCAAACCCGTGATAACATAAAAATGCACAGTGCCCCATTGTGGGCTACACACCGCATAGCACGTTTCTTCAGTACAACGAATGTAGGAGCACAATGCTCAAGGGCTCCAGGGAAGGCTCGGACAAGATCTTAACGTGCACCACTTCCCCCATAAGACCTGTCCGTGCAGCAGGTCTGCAAAATTCAGCTCTGGGTGCGAAGCCTCTTGGGCTGTGGAGGCATTTGGGCCTGATGCCACTTTCAGTTCGGGCTTAAATCCTGCGGCTGTACTTCCAATATGTGAAATGCAAGCCACGGATATATCCCCTTCTAACACACCCAACATATCACACTTTACAACAGAGCAGCTTGTGGCATTAAGGTCATTGGTCTGTAAAGGCCTGGCTCCTGTCTCCAGTAGTGCCCCACACTTGATGCTTCAAAGCCCACATAATGCACTTGGCCAACAACTACCTTCTTGACTGCTTGATGTGATCCCCCCACTAGGCAACCCAGCACGGGCACAGGTCCTCGTGGAGTGGACCAGCCCTTTTACAAAAACCCAGCTGCAGCATGTTGCCGGTGACCTCCTGCAGCAGTAATGGAGCCCGCATGTCACAGCGGTGGGGGTGAGGGATGGACTGAGCAGCAGAGTTCAGGGCCAAGTCTGAGCTCCCGGGACGCTTGAAGGCTTGCTCCTAATGGATGCAGAGAGAACTCAGTCACCTCCTTGACATGGTTGTGGCGTTCTCTAGCGACAGATATTGTGCACAGAAGGAAACACAATTATTTCTGCAGTATCAGCCACCCTACAGGATATCCAGAGTCGCTCTAGATTTCCACCAGCTTAAGGAAGACAGAGCACGGCCCTCTAGCTTTGCAATGGCTCGTCTCCGGAGAACCTCCACTTCTGCAGGTGCATCAAGACAAGGCTGCCGCACCGGAGCCAGAGTAAACCATTCAGCTCTGGCATGTGCTGGATGACAGGAGAGGCTTTACCCATCTCTACCCAGCCCTGAATGTTGCAGCCTATATCTATTTCTTGTAAAGCCGAAGAAGCCAAACGAGCAAGTGGCACTTGCTGCCTTTAGCAGCAGCGGGGCCTGTGCTGTTCTGGGGGTGCGATGGGAGGAGGGGGGAGCCCCAGTTTGCAGGGGATGAGCAAGGATGACAGTACGTACCGTTGTACACCAGCTCTGAGAATTTCAAGGCGAGCCCCTGCTTGATTTTCCGCACCTCCCGGTCCATGGTAAAGGCCTCAATATCTAAATGAGCGTGGTAGAGGATCGTCCCCGCTGGGGTCTCGTAGATACCTAGCCATTTTTCCAGGCAGGGGGAAAAAAAACAGAAAAAGAGAGAGAAATGCGTGAGCCCGAAACTGTCAGCAAATGACAAAAAATAATGACTTGGCTGACAGAAAGAGCCATGGTCGAGCCCATTCAGTCCCAGCTTGCTGTAAAATGCATCTGTCATTATATTCATGCTGGGGCCGAGACAGTCCACTCCGCACCTTGTGGAGAAAATTTCTAGATTCCCCTCTTTGAAGAGGCACTCTGAAGAGGCTAAATGACAGGGTAGAGGAGCCGATTCCCCCGCCGATGCATGCCCACCGGTCTGCGGCTGAAAACCTGTAATTAAACGAGCGACGCGGGGCACAGGCGCGGGGAGCCGGGGGCCTGAAATACCCTCCTCTCCCCTCCGCCAGCGCGAGACAGCGCCGCGCCTCAGCTGTGCAGAAATAAGGCTACCTGGGGGACGGGAGTGCCACCTCCTTTGGGGCTGTCGACCCCCCCAGCTCTCCCCTCCCCCCCGACCTTTCTGCTGCCTCCGGCATTGCAGCAGAGCTTAGGAAACAGCCTCCGCACAAGAAGTTTAATTATTGTGATGATTGACTGCCGTGGGCCCAAGCTGGGGGGCAGAAAACCCAGGACCGTCCTTTGTTCCTGCTTCTCTGGACTGGTTTTAAACCAACTTATTTTTTGCTGGAGCCTGGGACATCCAGCATCTTCCTTCCCCTCTGCATACACGCGCATGTGCTGCCTGCTGATGAAACGTAGATCCGCTGCCACGTTAAGACATGGCAGGGATCTGCAGGTCCACGTGAATATGCACACACTCCCTGGGCATACCAAATGCAGCAAGGGCACTCACCAAATGTACAAACACCACCCCCCAAAAAATACCTGCCCCAGCATTCACATAGTACCATACCTAGGCTCCTGGCGGCCCCGAACAAACTTTTAGTATCAGGCCCCCCTTCACCAGAGACAATGATAATACTAATCAGACAATGGAAGAAAAATTACCATTTTGGGCCCCCTTTCTGCTCTGGGCGGCCGCCCGGTTCACCCATGCCTGTGTCCGGGTCTGCATGCACATACAATATGTCTAGCTGCAAAAACACCCCCACCCATGCCTATCCTGCCCTCAACCTGTGTGCAAACCTAAAAAGAGCATCCTCTTCCTCTTCCACCTTCTTCTCCCTAATTCCTAACATGGAAACGCAAACATCCACCATGTTGTGGACGCACAGTTTTTACCCGCCTGCATCTGGGGTCGCAACGACGCAACTCGGGGTTTAAGGGCGACTAGTTAAATCCCCGCGGCAGAACCAGCAGGGGGAGCTCACACATTGTGTTTTGTTGTATCACACCACAAAAGAAGGAGACCCCCCCAAAAGTCACTTCCTAGCAAACACCCCTGGAGATTTCGTACTCACCGACTTGTGCTAACACCTAATGTCAAGCGGGCAGTTTGCAGGCCTAGCAGTTTTGTGGGTCCAGCCCACGCACACGGGGCTGTTTTCAAGTACATAAAACAAGGCAAAAATTCAACCTGCTGGAAAATCGAGCACGAACCAACGGCCGGCCGAACCCTTGCAGAGTGGCCATGGAAACACAAAATGACTCAGCGATGGAAAGTGCCTTTGTCTGTGCTCTGGTACAGAGGACGCACCGGGCCAGACTGGATCACCGGGCCAGAGCATCCCTGCAGAGATTGTCTTTTTATTTGCTGTTTGTGCAGCGCCTTGCACAGTGGGCTCTGACTCTGGGACCAGGGCTCCTACGTGCCACGGTAACACAAATAAAATCAGGACCATGCCCTGCCACCACCGCCACCGCCAGCCGATACTCGAGGTATCCGAGCTAATGGCAATCATGGTCACAGAGCAGAGGACGGACAGGGAGGAGGGGGAAGGAAATCCCTTCCTGACCCTTGGAGAGATCATACAAGGTCTTCCAGCCTGGAGAGTGATTGCCCATAGGCCTGTTCACATAATGACCAGTGCTGTTACCAGACACAGATTTATCCAGAGCTTTGAATGCAAGGAAGGAGGCAGGACAGAAGGAACCACACTGACCACTATGACTGTCTGGAAATGCCCCCGCTAAATCCCACTTCTCTTCAACGCCACGAAGGACACCAACCGTGTCTTGGAGCCACAAGGCAAGACGCACTCCTAGTGGCACCTGCCTCAACTCGGACCACGGTGCCCAGGCAAGACGGGCAAGCAGTGGGGGTGCTGTTGGGGGGTGCCCCTTGGAAGGCCAGCTTCAAGTAGCAGAAGACCTCCTGCAACTAGTGGCGGCTGTCAAGGGGGGGCCCCCTTATTGCTTCCCATCACCACCTGCTTTTGTCCACAGCCTGGAGAGGGAGAGCGATGGCAGCAGGCCCCTGCCATCACTACAGAAGACACCACAAGATTATGGAGGTGAAAACCATGCTGCACCTTTCTCTTGGGGACTGCCGCGTGACTCAGTGACGTGGCCTGGAGGCAGTTTGGTCCTAGATATTATTCCGGAGTGAACAATGTTCACCATCAAACTACCCAACACAGCTACCCAACTCCTACAACCACTGACATTTAATGAGGAAGAACAACCATGCTTACGGCACCAGACCAGGGACTCGGGTTCAAATCCTGGGCTCGCTCTGTCTCCTTGTGTGACGCTCAAACCTGACCTGGGTTCCTGTTCCTCTCCAATGGCTGGACCATGCACAGACGCTGCCACACCTGTTCTCCCTGATCGGGAAGCAGGGACAGGTGAACACACTGCTGTAAACCACACCAGAGCAGGAATGGACAGAAGTATGTCTATCCCAGGGCATCCCAGAAAGGAGGCAGCTAAGACTGTGCCTCACTGCTAGGCAACAGGTTGCCTGTAGGAAACAAATGCTCCTGGATGGACACAGGCAGATCAAACCTAACCTGGTATATATTACACTAGAGGTGTGTCACCCCCGTTCTTTGCTTCATCTGTCCACAGCTGCTTCCACACCAGTGACATGAGTCTAGAGCGGGTAAATAGCAAGTCCCAGGGTACCCGGTCATTTGGGCTAGGAAAGCAAAAGACAGTCAGACATCCCACTCATCCCATCATTCCCTTGTGAGCCCGTGGCTACAGCAACTGAAATGCTTCATCCACGCTAGCCCAATGGCTTGCTATGTTTGGCAGGACTGGTGACCTTGACTGCCCATTACACTGGGTGAGATGTTTGTCTGTCTTTGCCTGCAGAAGTTCTTGCCCTGGTATCCGGACAGTTTAGTCCCTGCACACAGCTAGGTCCAGGGGACTCTCACTGACTCAGTTTCCCCATCTGTAATGTGGGCACAACCCCACTCCTTTCCTCCCAGGCTGAGGTCTGTTGCACCAGGTTCGACTGCAGGCAGTTCAGCGTGGGGCTCCCCTGGGTACAGGGATAGCACCTAGTGCACGTTGTGCTGTAATGCCGATCAGGAATAACTCGCATCTCCTGTCGTCCTATGGTGCAGGAGCTGCTGTCTCAGGTCCCCTGGAGGGATGGGACCACTTGCAGGAGCAAAGCAGCAGCTCCAAACACAAGACTTGAGAGTGATAGAGGAAACCAAGCCCACTGATAACACAATTGAGATGCTCATGCTTTCCCTTTACAAGGTGTTAAAGTTAATTCGGGCTGATGAAAAGCTTGGTTTTTTGTGTCTTCCTCCAGCACCCCCCTGCTCCCCCCATCTTCCCCCCGATCACGGCAGGGGACGCAGAGCAGACGATTGCTCTCTGTCTGTCTGTTTCTTTATTATTTGTATTTGATTCCTGACAGAAACCTGATGCTAAAAGACTGCGGATCCGGGAGCCTTTGACAGTCGGAGTACGAACTACTGCGCAAGGAGGGGAGGGAGATGACAGCCGCACTTCCAGCATCGCCATGGAGGAGACAAGAGACACCTTCAAAGTGACACTCACAGCGTCTCCAAGTGTCTATTTTCATCTCCCCGTGTTTACAGGAAAAAGACAGAGGTGTCAGCGATACAGCCTGGCAGCACTTCAATCACACCATAATTACTGCTGAGAAAGGGGCTGGGGGGTGGGGGGAGTGGACGGGGATAAAAAGCGGGGGGAACGGAGACAGCTGCTGCTGCTTAAAATTTTCTAATTTGTAACCTCTGCTGTCAGCTTACCTCGAATTGAGCAATTTTGCCGTATTGACTGTGATCCGTCAATTTGAACAGGGATCAATGTGCTGACATTCCACAGGCGAGGATGCCGCGGGCTCCCGACGGGCAGGGTCCCAAAGGGACAAGACACACCATGGGAAAATAGCACTCGGCAAGAGACACCCCCTGGGACGGCGGGATGCACAGTCAGCGGCCAGCAGACCCAGGAGCAGGCAGGGGCGTCAGACTGCAAGCTCCTGCGGGGCAGCGGCTCTCGCATCCAAAGCGCCCACCCCGCACCCAGAACAAGGATGGCAATATAAATGGAGTCATGAGAGCAGCAAGGAGGAGAGGGGGACTGCGATGGGTGCGGGAACAAGGAAGAAGAAATATCTGGACGTCTACTGCTGCGGTTCCCGCTGGCCGTGCACTTTCAGGGCAGAGCTGAGACCAAGCCGCTGAGCTCGCCATGGGCAGAAA